AGTATCACACACACAAAAAAAACATAATAAGTAGTCTTGTTTCGTGTGCCGTAAAGTCATAACGTGTAAATTGAATCTGAATAAGTGCTTATTTTTATCAATATGTATAATGCGAAATGAATGTACTTTTTTTTTTCTTCACACGCACTCAACACACAGCCAGATTTACATGATTCATCTGTTAATAACAGATCATTGGTTTTTTTTCATCATCAAGACAATCAATTCGATATAATCAGCAAGCGTATGTGTGTGAAACAGCCCAAATCAAGTTTATATCAGTTATTTTATGTTTTGTTTATTCATTCAAACTTGATATTTATTTAATCTGGTTAACATTTGGACTTTTTATATCTGAAACCATAATGCGAACGAGTGAGTTTATCTGAATATTCTATTTTCATATCGATGGAATTTATGAGTGTCTTCTCATATTTTTGTATTACCATCAGTGTACACACGCGCATTCTTTGAGAATTACTCGACTTTTTTTGTTGTTGCTGGTCGGTAAAGCACATGAATTACTCATTGCATAAATGAGAGTAAGTATAATACGAAAAAGAAAGATAGAGATTTCGACACGGTTGTTTTGCATTGACGGTGACTCGCCCCGTTTGGATAAGTGTGCGATGAAAGATGATACGAGCGTGATTTATTGGACCATTTGAGGCATCACGTCGTTCAAACGAAATGGCTCATAGCAGACGAAATCAAAAGCAAAACGAAAAATGTTTGCGTTGCACATGTGACACGAAATGAGACACATACACCCAACACCGGAATATATGCGGTTTGTTGACATACTCACTTTAAGTGCAATTGGCGTATTCGACATACAACGATATCATTGCACATTTAATTAAATCATGCACTTTTATTTCATTGATGTGAGGCGGTTTTTTTTAAAGAACGGTGAATGATACCAATTTGTTGTATTTCGGTTTGTAAACCTATTATTTATCCAAACAAAACCACTTTTGTTTCATGCCAAGTGTTGAGCAATTCGTTGTGAATATACTTAATTTCAAGAGAATTAGCGGGCGCCGCAACATTTGGCACACCTCTTATAAAAAGAACGGCATTTATTGCAGAAGGTAAGTGGTTTAACACCTATTCAGATATTTCAATGGGATTGCATTGTGCCATTTTTTAAAAAGTGCATAGACATCGCCAAAACACCCATACTCTATGTTACTTGGATTCATTGATGCCACTGGATTTGCTTCGTAAGCAATGCAGTACAGTTTCGTTTTGACATTGTTCAGCGCTGAAACGACGATTTGGAAACATCAAATTGGAATTTATTAAAAGTCACCCATGGTTATATGAAGATCAATTGAAATTATTAAATAAAAATACGATGAATTTTGTCACTTGTTACGCTGACCTCATAAAAATGTTTGTGGTGCGAAAAAACGGCCGCGTTTTCAATTGATTTTGGTAAATCGAAGCTAATTGATTTTGTATACCTTTTTCCTTTCTGATGCCATTATAGTTACTTCAGTCATAGTTTAAGCGTATACATATCGTTAAATGGTGTTCGAAGTGAAACCTTCACTCAAATAGGCTCAAATTGAGTTGATTGTTTTCTTAGAAAAGCAAAAAATACTTTACTGTGTCAGCGTAAAAACAATATAAATTGACAAATGTTCGAAGCGAAAATCCAAGCGTCTTATTTGTTTAAATAGATTTGTCTTTTGAATTTGTGTCACTGATGTGAAGGGGGAGACGCTACACACACGACCAAAAAAACCATGCGCTCATAATTGTGGCCATTCTTGTGCGAACACGCCGGATACGATTTATGATGATTTATATCGATTTATATATGGGCATCTTGTATTAGCGTTGCTTGAGTTCAAATCGACCAAACTTCAAGAGCATTGGAAAAATGGACATAATAAGAAAAGACAAACAATACAAGATAGAATTTATCTGAGAAACGGAACTTTTGTGGACTCTCTTCGTTCATTGTAAATTCAATATTCTTGGAAACAAAGTCAAAAAGTGTGACACAACACAAAGTGGTGATGGATTCCGACAAAGTTCTTTCTCTCGAATTTATTATTTGCGTTTGTGGCATTAACTAACATGCAATGGATGTGGCCGGAATGGTGAATTGCCATACAAACGGTGACGGCACTGTGAAGACGGCTGCAAAACGAAAGAAAGAACCATCATAACAAAAAAAAGAAACTGGATTGCAATGCATCGACCGATTCAAGCAAAGAGCAACACATGCGAATTGCCCATGCATATCGTAACAATCGTCGAGCCAACAGAGACGTGAGTGATAAAAGTGAAGAAGAACAATTATCATTTGCATGATGATATTTTGAATGAGCAATTCAATTGTAGCAAAACAAACATTTTTGCACTTGTGTCGTTTTCACAAGTGAAGGTGTGATTGCAAAACGTACATAACATTTTCAAATGCTATTTGAAGGGAATTTAATATAAAATGAATAGTAGAATTGGAATAATTTTGACGTTCGTCTGTATGATTTTGCTGATATATATCGTTGCGGAAAATGAATAAACATGGAGTTTTTTTTTTAGTTTCGCTTCCAAAATGGTAATGAAAATGGTATGTATGCGCATGTATTTCTTCCTGGATATGCGTTAGAACATTGAATCAATCATTTTGATGTTGATGAAATGCAAGATCGTTTGTTGCGATCAAACAACACACACACATACAGTTCATAGTGAATGAACATGAGCGATTTTATATTGATGCAACGCCCGTGAAGTTCATGTAGTTTCTTTAATTAGAATTTTACTTTAGAACAACACTTGTTTTTTTTGTGTTCTGTTCTCTTTTCGCTGGCGTTAGGCTCGCAAACATATCCATAAATTGCATTGTTTTTAAGTGAAACGCAGTGCACGTGCTGATTTTGGATTCAAAATATATAATTTTTTTCTTCCTCTAAATATAAATGCAATTTAATGTATATTCATAATTAAAATTGAATAGAACATGATTCGCATTAGTAAGGATCGATATAATCTGATTGAGGCTAAAGTAAATTCGTATACATGCAATTTCTTTTAATAGGAAGAGAAATCCAAGCGAAACCGAAAAAATGACCGATCACATTTGAAATGATGCAATGTGGTCATAGATTGGACATTGTATTCATTGAATCGTTATTTCAACCAAATGTGTGTATGCGATATCACCGTACACAGTTTTATCGCGGCGAGTCAAATTAATTGGCATCAACAATGAAAAGTACAACTAGCAGGCATTTTGTTCGTCGTAGTCAAATGCCCACGCGCAACAAAGGGAATTGACATGGCTGATATCGTAAGTAGTGCGCAATTTTCATCGATCTGATGCAAATTCTTCAACGGATGATTCGAATTCAAATGCAAATGCAGTTGCATATGTCGAGTTGCTATGCAATGAGATTTGCAAGAAAATTGCCGTATCGGTCAATATGCAAGTGTAATCATTTATTCCTCCAATAATTTTCTTGCGTAGCTCAGGCTAAATGAGTAAAATAGTGTAATACGAGTGGCATTGGTTGCACGGGGGACGTTTAATTCAGGGGTAAAATGGCAATAACTAGCCACAAAACGTACGTCTACCGCAAAGCAAAACGAAATACACAAAGAAATAGCCACAAAAGATGCAACCAGCTATTTGAAACCGAAAAAACCCAACCATACATAGAGAGTAAGAAACAGAGAGAGAGAGAGAGAGAGAGAGAGAGAGGGAGAGAGAGGGAGAGAGAGAGAGAGATAGAGAGCGTACAACATGTGGATCGTGGATAATAATGCATTAGCATTACTTATTAAGAAAAGAAGAAGAAATAATAAACCATTGAAGAAATGATGATGAGAATGAGCAAAGTAGATGAAAAACAACAACAAATGAGCGAAAGAGTGCGGCGAGTGCAACCGCAACAACAGCAGCACACAACCTGAACAGAAAAATTAATGTGGAATAATAATGAGTAATGAAAATAGTTTATATACCGAATACAAATCGGTTGCACGCAGAAATTTGTAGAAGCGTAACAAATTAAAGAGTAAATCCTAGTCATGCATTCGATGAGATATTGCAATGACGAACAATGTATGCTATACATTGAAATGCACCGGCCAATGTAGGCAATTCGCCTTCAATCTCTTTATTTCTTGATATCCATCTCTCTGTCCCCCCATCTCTCTCTCTCTCTCTCTCTCTCTCTCTCTCTCTCTCTTTCTCTTTATCTATCAGTGCTTGCGGTTGCGATCGCGGCACAAACACTCGTTCTTCTCATTACCACGTCACTTTGAATGATTTTTTTTAGTTTACTGAATCTCTATCCATTTCTATCTCACTTTCTCATTTTCTATCGTATTCTATCTCGGACTCTCATCGCTTATATATTCAAAAAAAAAAATAAACATGAAATGACTATCAAGTGATAGCATCTTCTTCATCTTTATTCCGGTGTATCACGGTGCAAAAACATTGCATTTTACTAGTGCACAGCGAAAAACGTCTCTCATTATATTCAATGAAAATTGTGTGCCTTAATTTCACCGAAAAATTCTATTCCGAGAAACAATGTTGATGTGTTCGCTGTTTGTTCATGTTCACACGCAAACCGATGAAACGGTGCTTTGAGAGATTTTTGTTTTTCGCTGTTGTTATTCATTCCATTTTATTCTTCATCACACTCACACTCAGAATAAACAAACAACCGAATGAAATTGAGAAAATGAGTGTGGTTTTAAGTGCTTGAAAGTAAACAAAATAAAAAAAAAGCACATCGGTTGTTTGCCGCTGTTTTATGAGAGTGAAGCAAATAATTTTGGTCTCTCAAAACTGCAAATATAAATTCACGACGTCACATCAAATTGTTTATTGCTGCTCTTTTCTTCATTTGTACTCTGTATGCATACGAAATTGACCAAGATCCGCATACAATTGACAACACAAAAATGAGAATTTAAAACAAAAAAATAGCGGAGGAAACAAAATCCAATATAAATTGACCACTTACCTGCGATTCGGAGTACGGCACGATCGGCTGGATCTAATTGTAGTATGCTTAATGGCTTGTCCTTTGCCCATTCACTCAAACTTTCGCGATCCATCATCATTTTAAATGGAGAATTTCTTTTTTAGTTGTTTGTGATTTAATTTTTATTTTGTTTCACTTGCATTTGCAACACACACTCAACACACACAGCAAAAAAATAAGCATTTAAATTTTTCAAACCGTTGCAATATGTCAATTTTGGTTTGGCCTATTTTTGTCTGTTTGCAAATTTTATTGGATTGGATGACTGATTTTATATAGCGGTAAATAAAATTGCATAATAATGCGTACACGACAAAATTCCAATACGCAATGTAACAAAACTGTGCGGGTGTTCTTTTACAAATATATTTTTTTTGTATTGCCGCTTTATAATTCACACACATACACACAATGAAAGCCGTAATTTTCACTAAAATTTAGTTGATATTAAGATAATAGATTTGCTCTTTTTCCGCTTACTTAATCTGTCGCTGGTTTTATCACACAATGAACACAAACTCAATAAAAGAGCAAGACTTAAAATTTAAAACATTAAATATTTTATGCAGATTAGTTTGGTTCGTAATTTGTCCAGTTGCCAATTCAATTTTCCCGTTGGATTACGTTTGGAAAAGGGTGGATTTGATTTTTATCGAAAATGTCCATTAGATTGCGAATCATGTACATTTATATATATTTTTATTCGTTTTGGCTCACACATGAATGACAAAATTCACTTGCATTGTTCGTTTGCTGTTTTTGATGACTACGTTAACGGTATATATTTTTTTTTTTTTTGCTTTCTTTTACAAAAATTTGTTGCACTTATTTGCTTTGCAGCGCTATTAAAATATATCACAAAAAATTTCCACTTATTGTTGTTTCACTGGCAATCACCGAACGAAGCAAAGAAAAAAAATTTTGGTCTTTGGAATTAATTTTTGCATTTCAACAAATTCATGTTTTAAACACTCCAATAGATTGTGTGAATGTGATAGTCTATACAAAGTTCTAGTTTAAGTGCTTCACTTCGATAATGTCGAAAATTATTTTATCTTTTCTCCATTTGGATACATTCGGTGCCGAAAAAAATCTACGATAAAATATGCCAACATTTTTATGACACACATTATTCAAGACATTTATTTGTTTCCTGTGTGTAACTGACTGACTGACTATTGTGTTGCGGCAAAATCGACTGTTTGAAAATTTTGTTGTTTCGTAAATATGAAGAGAAGCAAAAAAAACGAACTGTTTTTTCGCTGAACGATTTGATTTCTTTATTTCGTTCGAAGTGTGTGTCTTACAGTTTTGCTGTTCGTTTTTCGCGTTTCGGTATTTAGTTGCGACGAGAATATTGATGAATGCACGAGCTGGAGCGGATGAATAAATCGGTTCGTATTTGTCGATGGTTCGCTTGTATCGTTCTGTAAACACATACTGATTAAAGAAATACGACGATGCCAGACCGCATGCTTTTCGACGATTGTGTTGTTGTTTTCATTTCGTTTCGTTCGTCAAAAGCGATTTTTCTTTCGGTGTTCGTTTGTGTGCTGTTCTATCCCACTCTGTCCACCATCGATGTCCGTGCGCCTCTTTCGCTTTCTTTCTCTAATCGCTCGGTGTATGGCAGCCAGCAACTCACATCCAAAAGTGAATATACATTGAAACGCTTGCTAACACTGGCAAAATCATCTGTGTCTGATGCTTTTACTGTGTATGGTTGTTGATGTGTGTGTGCGCGCGCGATCTCCGTTTTTTTTGTTTCGCACACACAACTATCAGATATTATTAAACAGTCACAACGGCACTATGACAATTAGATAACTCCGTTCAAGTTATAAATTTAATGATAATAAATCTCAAGAAAGAGGTGAAAGATACAAGAATATTCGTTACACTGTCACTGTTTATCACACGCACCCAGCATCCGTAGCACAAACACAATTCGTCTGACAATATTACGGAGTTTTCTTTTTATCAGATTTTGACAGCCGGTTCAATACACTTGCAATTTCTGCATACACTCACAAAACATAATATACATAGACAAGCAGTTATTACGGACTCGTGGCTCAGCAACGTGAGTTTTCGCTTCTTATTCGCCCTTTAGCGCAAATCCACTTCGACCGCATCAAAAAAAAAAAAATTCGTTGCACAATTTTGTTTATTGGCCGCACATTTGTTGTTGTTTCTTGTTAGCGCTTCCACTGTGTATGTGTGAATGGTGTGGCCAAGATAAAAGATTTTGCATCTCACACCGTATCACGATGCAATTGACTTCGAGACTGAATATGCTTTCACGACAATGCCATGATCATCGAACATTTCTTTTATTTTTGAAAAAAACAATCAGCACGATTTTATGTAGTGCAATACACGATTCACATTTGTCGGTATCTATTTTATCAGAAAACATTCAGCATTATAATCTTGATGTTTTTAGCGCGCGCACATGCGCAAAAATGGAAACGGTTTTTTTCTTCTTCTTCTACTTCTTCGATGCTATCACATCGGATAAAATCTGATCGAATTTTCAATATTTTTGTAGCACTTTATATTCGAATAATTCTGGATTTTTATCAAACTTTTATCATTTCTTTCAAATATGTGGCGAATGCTGTTCGATGCAAAACTTATTCGATTTGTTATCGTGATGGGCATTAACTATTTATAGTCCTTCTGTCGTCGTCGTTTTTGTTAACTGTATTAATTAAGTTTTGTGGTTTGAATAAACCATGAGATAAAGATTGTTGTTTGTCGATATTATACACGCGAATCACAAATGAACGAACAAAAAAAAAATCAGGTTACAATTAACTTTTTTTTATGGTACAATCGTTAAGTTATATCGCCGTCAGTTCGCTTATCGCAAAGCGTTCTTTGTATGCTTTTGATGTAATTTTATCCATTGTATGTGTCAATCCGATTCATTTTTGTATAGAAAAAAATATATTAAATTATGCATTCGCCGTCCGTGTGCGTTCCTTTTTCTCACTTCTTTTCATATGTGCTATTAATAATTCGAAACGATTGAAAGAATCGTGCAATTTCATACGATTCGAGTAAATCCCCCTTTCCGATTGTTGTTGTTATCACCGCTGTGATTCTATTCATTCACCGATCATTCGCGATTTACACAATGTGAATTAGTTTTTCTACACTCGGCACAATAATGTCGTTCGATGACAGTTCACTTTGATAATTGCACAGCTGTTGTTGTTGTTGTTGCTGCTGCTGCTTTTTTTGTTTGCGATTTTTCTTCGGCTCACTCAATATTTTTAGCATTCAGTCGACGCACACAACTGGGTAACTGTGAAAAATGGGCCAATATATCACATACTTTATTCAGTTGAGATGGTTTTTTTTAAAATGACAATCACCTCGTCTCTCTCCGTGTGTGTTCGTTTTTTTTTTCTCACTGATTAATTCCGGCGCACTTCTTATCCATGCCGTTGTTTTTTTTAGGCAAACGTGTCAAACCATTTTGATTGAGGAGAAATGTGCTTCTTAATTCACTCTTTTCTCTTTTCACTTTGTAGGAAACGTGAAGGTTTGACAATGATAAGATGCGCAATTCTAAATGAATTCAATGCACTTTCAACAATATTTTTGCTATTCCATTCATGACGCGGTGTTAAGTGTGTATGTGCGCGTTCCGACCTCAGAGTTTGATTTCTCTTATATTTCGTGCCTCGAATCTCAATATTCTGATCTATTTGTAACTCTTCTCTTCTTCATACCACATACACTTTGTGTACGTTTGTTGGTTTCACGTCTGAAATACAAACAAAACAAAAATGACATTAAATTAGTTTCTCTTTAGTTTTATTGCTGCATCAACATTCAATTGCATTAAAATTACCATGATCAAAATCATATTCACGACATAAAATGAAACCACTTTTATCTCGGCCTCGTGTGAGCTCGTGCTCAACATCGAAAACTATTCATCAATTTTTGTGTGGTTTTATTTGTATCGTGTTTCAACTTACAAACAAACAAAAAAAATGAACGAGAAAAATATATAAGAAAAATGAAAATTTATTCTCGGGATTGTAAACAGCAAATGAACTCAATAGATTTCCTGTTTCTCCACAGTTAACTTTTTCAAACAAATCGAATTGGTTGCACGCTGCACTGAACCGGCAATGTGTTGAACGGTGTTAAGCAGGCTGCGATATTTACCAACGAGAACAATATATACCGCGCTCATTGGACGCAACGCATATATGTGAATACACAACCGCATTAATACACTGTATGATTCGAATGTGTATTATCTAATTCATTCTATCGTAAATGGCAGTAGTTTGAAGTTGGCTAGCCACTGATTCTCTGAATGACCGACAATTTAATAATACTTAAATTCAAATGTGCACATAAAGCGACAAACATACAATATTGTGTCACGAGTGGTAATCAATTTCATTAATTCACCATTTTTCCACATGAATTGCTATTGTTTTTCGCTTGCATTCATTTTGAATTTTGTGTACCATTTTGTTTATGCTACCATATATGATGACTATGATTAATATACCGGTCAATATACAAATATTTTATGTTGTTGTTTTTTTCAATTTCGATATATTCGCAAATAAACATGATAAACATTGATGCATTTGCATTCGCCCACTTCAAACGCAATGACCGAGCACGTGACAACTGAACCACTGGAATAAATTCAATTGTTTGACGGGAAGTTGAAACGAAAATTGTGCGGCTAATTTATATTGTTAGTTGCTTAACTATAAATGCAGACCACTGAACTATAACCGATTGAAAATGATGATGGTGATGGTTTGAACATTCTTTAGTTCATATTGCATGTGTTGGCCAAGCGAACAAAGTGCACACACCGATTATAGTTTTCTTAGACCCCGAAGCATAACTAATGCGTACAGAATCCATTTTTAACACAGTACTGTCGATGCAATGTGAAACATTTCCTGAGCGCGACTTCAAAAAAGCAGCAACATGGCAATTTTGCAGAAATAAAAATGAACAATAACCATGTATTAAGCGAATCATTCAAATGTTTTATGCGCAAAAGTGGAATATGACAAGAACCACTTCTTTTTTCTCTCTTCATTTCAACGCTACTGTGTTATTGTTTTGTTGAATGCGATAAAGAACATGACAACTTGACAGATAAATGTGATCATTTTCTAAAGTGGCCGAAGCAACAAATCAAGTGCACATTGGCCATATCCCATTCAGACGGTTTTATTATACATATTTATATATGCATTATTATCACGTACGCCTGCCGGTCGCACTTTGATTCCAAATTCAACTGAAAAATAGCATTGCCCCAGCAAAGTTGAAAAATAGCATTGCCCCGGTGTTTAATTGAAAGAAAAAAAAGGATTCAAGCGAGAAATTATTTATTATTCTTCGAGTGAAGGAAAAAGATATTGAAATATTTCAACGAGTTATTTTTTCCCTTTTTGTTTCGGTGTGTTTCTTTTGTGCATAACGAAGCAATATAAAGAAAAAAACGAGTCGAACATAAGTTATATGCCAAGATCAACTGTAGAAACAAATGCACCAACTAAATTACCGAAAAAAAAAAGATTCGTTGAAACCGTTCATCAATGTCGATCGTTGACTTTGCGTGAATATAATGACTCAAAATGTGAGTCTCAAATGATGAATGTTGCCGATGATTTTTTCCATATTAGTTCGTTCGCATGAACTCTGAGTTTATCATCGAAATTTTGGTATTTGGTTTCAACAGAGTGAAAAAAAGTGAACAATCGTATGAGTTTTTTTTCTAAATAACGATGAATTTCCTTTCTGACACCGAAGAAGAATGAGTTTCATTCAGTGAAGACACGAAGCGTCTTCATTCATGATTCACAATCGTGTAAATCGAATACAAACAACGACTATTTTTCATAGCAAATGGAAACAAATTCCAATATTCACACCAATTTACTGCGGTCTTTCAAATATTCGTTACTTCCTTTGATGTATTATAAATTGAAGTTCATTTGTATACATTTTTTTTGTACACACACACACACACCATTTGCCCATTCAGTTAGATAAGAAGTCATTTTTACTGTTCTATTGGCACCTTTTTATATTCAAATGAATATTTGTTTACGATATTATCCGGTTGTCGTAAAACAATCTCTCTCATTTGTTCATTTGGCGTGCTTGTTCTGTATCATAAACTCACACGATTACTGTACACAGTTCTCGATGATCGGTGTTTCAGGCTAATAAATGTGTGCTTTGGCCAATCGTCGACGAAATAATAAAAATATATGATCAACAATAAATTGTGCTCACCCGAAACAAAAAAAAACTATGCCTAATTTAAAGAATGACACAAAATGAATTGCGCGATTTGTTTCAAGTGTCCGCAAACTATAAATGTACAACTACTTGAATATTGATATAGTTTAAGTAATGAATGAAAATATTGAAATGGGTTGGTTAATAATTGTCATTGTCGTGCACTTCGAATACTATTTAACACACGTTTTGGACATTGCACACATGTTCTTACATGATGTTTGAAAAAACAACTAAATCAAGAGGAAAGAAAACAAAATGATGAAAAGTCAGTTTGGTTGTAATGGGATTGCACGCAGACAGAAAGAGTGAGTGAGTGAATGTAAATAAAATGAAGAGAAAATGAGAGAGAGACAACGCGAAAGAGAGTAATTCTCTCTCTCGTGCGCAGAACACAGATGTATATACGTTCATACGCAACATGCATACAACAATGAAAACTTCGGTTCAAATAAACAGTTTAAAGTAAAGAAAAACGGCACAGAACCAAACAGAGAATATATGTACGAGGAGCAAATACACAAGAACTACATTGAGAGCACCGTCAAGTTCAAATACTAAATG